GCGCACACCAATGGAGGTGATTCCGGCAGCCTTAACGGCCTTGAAAGCGTACTCTGCAAATTTTAATTAAACATAAAACTAAAACCCCACCAAATTATTGCGTAAAACAAAATTAAAATAAAGCTGAATCAAAAGCTATAGGCTAGAAATTGGAGGGAAATTGCGTAACCAAAAACGCTTACCCACTTGAAAGAGACGACCTTCGGGAGAGAAGATCGTTATGTGACGATCGTAGCCTCCTCCGCTTCCCCGACTCATATTTCAGATCAGGTTTAGTTTCTATAATTGGATTTTGTGTGTGTGTAGTTTTTGGTTGTTAAACTGATTTGTGATTTTGAAGTGTGAGAAGCAAATGGTACAGATTGGGGTTTAAACTGAGGAGAAACCACGAAGCTTTTTGTCCAAGATAGTATGGGAGGTGAAGAAGAGTGGTAAATGCTTAATTTCACAAATGATCACTGAAGTTTACGTCAAATTCAAATTATTTTTACAGTATTTTTCTAACTCATTTTAGTCACTAAAATTAATTAATGTTACACCATTGATCCCTCTGCTATTGAAAATAATGTCTATTTTGACATGATGTCCATTACATGTTAACATGTATAAACAACTAAGGCACTAAGGGTATTTGGTATAGATTAAAATTAGATTTTAAATGGATTATGATAGAAGTTTTTAAAATATGTGGTTGAAAAGATGTGAAACCAATGAAAAATGTGGTTGATATTGATTGTTTGACTTTAACTTAAATTAGAATTAAATTTTAATCTGACCCAAACAAGCACATGGTGATTGATGGTGTAATGTTAATTACCTCGGGGGATTATTCAGCTCATTTCTATTTTTTTCGACACGTATTTTGCCACATCAAAATCTCTATTTTTGTCGCCCCACTTCCACTATGTTCCTTCCAACCCCTCCACTCCTATAGGAAACTTCAAGGTCCAGTACATTTTGACCAATGTTTGGTGTAGATTAAGAGTTTGTTTGGGAAGGATTAAAATCCAATTAAAATTGAAAATATAGCCGTTATTGGATCCCACCCGTCTAATAAAAGTCAACTCCAACGGCTATATTTTCAATTTTAATCTGATTTTAATCCCTCCTAAACAAGCTCTAAAAGTTGATAAAAATTTCACGTCAAAGTCAGTAATATATGTTAATCACATCTTTTATCGAAATCTACTAAAAAATTTAGGACTTGTCTGGTAGAAATTTTCAACAGCTTTTAAGCTAAAAATGACCTTTTTTCAGTTGGTGGGTCCCACATGTGAGATCAAAAGTCAACAATGACTGCCTTATTTCCTTCTAACAGTTCAAAAAGCCATTTTTTTGTTTAAAAAAGCTCCCCCAAACAGGCTATAATTTAGCTTCACAACTAGTGCTATTAGAATAATAAGTCGAGTATCAATTTGCTATCAAATGAATATTTAGAGGATGAATTGTGCAATTTTTAAAAAATTATTCAAACACGTGATACAATGTAAAATAAAATGTGTATATAGCATGATTGTTAATGCAATGCCATGTCGCGAGGTAAAAATAAAAAATAAAAATAATTGGCCATATAAGATATTTCAAGTTGGTCACTAAGCGCGTGTTTGGCCCCGCATTATTTTACATTATAATGAGATGAATATTAATTTTTTGAAGAATGTGTAGTGAAAAAAATAATGAAAAGTTTTTTAATTTATGTGTAATATTATTTTTTTTGAAGAATATGTGGTCGATAAGAAAAGAAAAAATGAATTATAATTTAATGAGAAATAATGAGGGGCAAGAAAAAATATTGCATTTAAATTCCAAACTAATGTCATTTCATCAACCATTAGTAAGTCAATCTACCACTCCAACATGAACAAACTAAACCCATGTTTAGTGTTGATTAAATTAGTAAATTTTGATAAAAGTCGATAGAGATATATTGTTGAAAAGTTACGAATTTCATAAAATATGTACAGTAAAACCTTTATAAATGAATGTTTGATAAATTAATAATCTCGCTTAAGTAATAAAATTCTTTAGTCCCAACTTGGATCAGTGTACTAAACTAATAAGGTAAAAATACACAACTACAAGACTATACAATCACATTTCACAACTAACAATGTTATAAAATACTTTCACAAATCATGTTTTAATTCCAAAATATTAATATACAATAATATATATAATTATAAAATAATATCTTCATCGTTGCATTATTTGCTTTCCTCTCCCCGTTCCACCACACCAAGTCCAACCTAACACAATCTCGCTCCCAATTTTAAAGATATTTTGTAACACAACACACACTCTCTCTCCATTTATAAACTTTCACTCTATAAACACAAATTCCCTCTCTTTATATGTACAACCACAAAATGAAAACAATCATATAGAGATCCCTTATGAAAAAGTGGCGGTGCGTTGGTGATAACGGCGCATTATAGGTGATGTTGAAGAGTTTGACTTGACTTGTACAATGGTGGTGTTGGTGTTGATAAAGTGGCAACTATATTTAGGAAACAGATCTATGTGGGATTATAGTGCATTGGAGTTGATTTGTGGTGATGGTGGTGAGGTGGTAGCAACGTTTTGAGTACTGTGTGGTGATTGTGATCAAGTTTTACTTCGTTGTGATTGTCGATATATGGTGAAGTTACTATTAATTTGGTCACAATCAATCACAATTTAACATAGATTTGGTCACATAGGGTCACCACAAATAAATCATCACACACCACAAATCAGCACTACAATCCATCACCGCCACAACCTAAAGCAGCAATCCGATCTGAACAAAAAACTCCCACCACCTCTTCTAATGTACCAACATCACCACCACCTGCACTGCACCACCACCTCCACCTCTTCCAATAATCACCAACAACACTGATGGCCATACCAATAATCTATTAAAAAATTGAATAATTATAGAGAGAGAATATGTAGAGAGAGAGAAACGATAAAGAGAGAGTTTTCATATGTAGTTATTGAGAAAGAGAATTTCATTTGTAAATATTGAAGAATGTGTATAATTAATTTAGGAGAAAAAATATTGAGGGGAGAGAATGAGTGGGGGTGATTATAATGGAAATAATTTTAAACATAAACAATTTTCATATTAATCATATGTTAATTAATTTAATAAATCTTCATTTATATGTAGGATTTTTTTTCCAATTAATAACCTCGTTAAAATACATAAGATAATAAGTTTTTTTAGATCATTTAATGTTCAACGAATGTATAAAATAATAACGGCTTAAATTCATTAAAAAATCGTATTAATACAAGTTAACAAATTTTTAATTTGACAACATTTTTTTCAATTCCCCTCTTTTTGAAACCATTAATGTATGCATGTGCATACCTTTTGTGTGTTTACAGATTACTAGGTTTAAGCAACGTGCAATGCACGTTTGTTTAGTTTATATATAATTTTTTTGGTTAAGAAATAAATTTTTATTAATAAAGATGTAATTTTTTTGGTTAATTAAATAACTAATGATGTAATGTTTATGTAATTGATAAATAATTGAACATTGTGATATATTAAAAAAAGAGCATTAAT